GAGATTTTGAGGTAGACAGGACAGTGACGCCATTTCTGACGTCCTTGGTTTTCACAGGTAAATACATGGAGCTTGGGGCTCTTTAAAAAGTGAGGATAGTGTTGCGTAGTCGTGAGCAGTGTTTCAGGAGAGATGAATGAGGGGCCTGCTGTGTTTCAAAGATGACTAGCTCTGTACTCCAGACTTGCCCTTTGGTATGTTTAACTAAAGATTAAATCTTAACTTGATATTTAATAAATTCTCTCAAAAGGCATTTCAGTTTTTTTCTGTGATAATCATTTCACTACTTTGTTTCACTGTTTTTAAACTTTTTTCAGTTAATTGGGAGTTAAAAATATTTCAGATGCTGTGGAGTTTTTATTTTAGATACCAAAAGCAGATTTTTTTTTTAAAACAGAGTTTTTAAAACAAAGGTCATAGTTGAATTGACATTCCCAAATAATTGATTTGCTATGCTTTTTTCCCAATTTTTGAAAATTATCTTTATAGATAGATGATAGGTTTTGTTTTGAAATATTCAGAGCAAATTATCATGTCAAAATTAAATGCATATTTACATGACCAATCATAGCATCAACAGAAAAACAAAGTGCCTTTACATTGATGTACATGGAAGGTGAATTTTGTCTGCTGTTAACCCTAAGTATAACCTATTAACCAGAGCTGAGTTTTTTTACCTATTGCAGTTATGGAGGACAACATTTTGACAGTCTTAGGATATCCAGAAACAGGAGCTAGTTGGGTGGGTGTGGGGAGGTTAGTGTAGGGCTAGGGATCTGGGCTTGAGTGGGTCTTTCAATGTGAGAAGCAGCTTAGAGTTGGGCATATTTCATGATATAGTATCTTAAGATTGGTGGACAAAGAGGCAGGCATCTTGAAGTTAGTATTAAGTAAACAGGTGTTTGATAATTAAGAAATTTGCTCAGTTTCAAGAGCTTCTTATTCAGATAAATTAATTTTCATGGAGTTCCTGAAGAAAGTTGTTTGTATGCTTTTACATTTATTTTCGTGGGCAAGAACATGTAGTAACTCAAAATAAAATCTTATACATGTAGGCTGCTTTGGTTCTTGGTCCTGACATTTGGGGTGGATATGGAGGCCTCAGTTTTCAATTTCATTAGCAAATTGAGAACTGAACTGTTCTGTGAAGTGCTTTACTACCTGCTTTGTGTGGAAGAGGTAGAAAATAAAGGGTTGCACTTATCTGAATGATCTTAACCTAAAACATACTACTATGTTTTCCCTTTCTTTAGATACATTAAGGAAAAGGGGGATAGGCGGAAATGACAGTAATAATAATCATTTAGGGAGACAACACTAAAAATATACTCTCGGAGCTCAGGATGGAGAGGCTAGATGGTGATTCTGTCTTGTCACACCTTTTCATTTTTAAAAAAAACTGACTGAATCAAATATGTGTTCAGGATAATTGACTCTTAACTTTCAATGAGCTGAAAAGGAGGAAAGATTATTTAATCAAAGTACTGTGTAGACATGCATAATACTGTGTTTTAAGAATATTTCAAGTAACACTTACCTTAATCTTCCTGTGTTAATGCACTCTACTCATTGCTCTTATTCACTCGTATTTCATTACTTAATATTAAGCAAAATATGACATGACAATTTTGAAATCTAGTTCCAGAAAGTAATTTATTAATGCAATAACAGGAGTATCAAAATGGGAAATTCCACTAGTGATTATAAATCAAACATTAAAGTAGGATAAATATGAGACCCAGAAGACCACATTTTAAAGACCAGGAAAAAAATTAAACAGAATTAATAAAGGCAGATATTAGATGCTTTTAAAATAATTCATGCAGAAATCTGTACTAAATTTTAAGCCAGGGAATTACACTTCATTTAAAAAAGTTTCTCCTTCTAAGTCAACATTGAGAGTCTAATAGGAAAATTTACAAGTGTGCAGATCTAAAGGTATTTATAAATCTCAAATCTCTATAGATTTTTTCAAGTCTAAATAATTATTCAGCAGAATTTACTTTTAAAATATTAATTTAGTTTTTATCTTCTCAAACAAGCTTCACTTCCTTCTACTTTGGTTCTAAGGGGAACAAAAGTTAAATTTCCTTTTTCTACACCTCATACAGTCCATCACTGGCTTAGGATTTTCTCTTACTGTGAGACTGGGGGGCCATATGTCACTCATCCTTTCCATTGAAGATGAACCATCATTCATACTACAGTTGCTCTCTGATCTCTTCTTCCCTAAGCCCACAGACTTCATCCCTGTATAGAATTCTGTTGTGTGCTTGCCTCCTAGAAGAAGACCCACTCATTGATGGCTTTTGGCTTTATTTATCTTCACTGTGCAGTAGAAGGGGGAAAGTCCTTTTTCTCTTAATTTCTAGTGAAAATATTATAAGGATGACTTGTTAAGACATGCTCTTTGGCTCTTCTTGCTTATCAATGATGGCAGTTTCCATCAATATCACAAAGTGGTCCAGAATTGAGAATGTCAAGAAAAATAACAGAGGTGTTGATTGAGGTTGGACTCTTTGTTGAAGGAGCATTAATTGAGAGCAGGAAGACAGAAGACCAGAATTAGCTGGCAAAACCAAATGAATAACACAGGCGACCAGCGTTGCTGTTGAGCTATGACCATAAATACAGGATAGAAAAGAAAGGGAAGAGAGGAAAGGAATATAAATCAAAGCAAATATTTATTATTTGTGTAGAGCTGTTATTTGTTCTACATCACTAGAATAGACAACAGGTAAAGTTAATGATAGTAGAACCCAGTTTATTTATAGCTGATGAAAGTTCAGAAGGTGATACAAGGCCTTATTTTAAATATCACATAGGATTATCTTTCTGCCCATACAGTCTGCTTCAGATAATAACTTGAAAATCTATCTTTGTCTCTTTTCCTCCTTTCTTAATACACCATTTTTCCCCTGATCCAACGTGTCAATGTCCCTATTGAGCTCAAGAACTACTGGCCTCCTGTGCTATCCTTATAGCATTTTTGCTAGTATTGATCACTTCTCATCATATAATTCCTAGGTATAGCTTTTTGTAATACTGAAATAACTAGAGAACAAGTCTGAAAATCTTGTTCTATGTGAAGTGTCAGACATTTCCATAAAACCTTCATAACCCACTATGCAGTACTTGTTCACGCTTATGCAACTGAAGACATTTGGGTTCTGAGAAATTGTGTCTTGTATAACTTCATTTACTGAGGATAGTGGACCCAAACTGCTTCAATATTGCCTTTCTTCTAAGAATGGGCAGAGGGTTAGCAAGGTGCAATATCATGTAAAGGGTTAGAATTGATTAAAACTGGAAAGAAGATTATTATTAAAAAAAAAACCATTCAAGTCTGCTTTCATTTGGGTAACTTCCCTTTAACATACAACCACATACACATACATGTATGTGTAATATATAATATATATGTACATTACACATGTGGAATATATAATACATATATATGTGTGTAATTTATACATATATATGTATAATATATATAGTGTAATATATATTATATATTGTTCAACTCCTTTGACCAAGAAGCAAGTGATTTTCTTTAAGTTAGAAGATAAAAATTCATGACTACTTAGTGTTCCAGCCAGTGTAATTCTTTATATTGGCATTACTACATTGGCATTACATTATTTATATTGTATTTATAAATAATTGAATTTATTTTTCTTCAGACTGGACATATCTCTCTTCTACTCAAAAACAATAACTACTTCCTATCATTGGATATGTTTATATTTCTTTCATTTTGTTATTATTCAGCTTGAAAATACTTAGATCCTTTTAGATCCATATTATTCATTTTAAAAAGGATCATTATACTTAATTAGATTATTAAGATGATTTCCAACTCTTAGTCATCAAAGAAGTATCAAACTTTGCACATACCATCTATGTACATTCAATGGAGTAGAAATAAAGTAACATACTTTTCAGCAAAGATTGGGATATTTCTTTTATATTCATTTAGGAAAAACAACATTGAATCTACCATGAATATTTAGCTTGTTTAATATTTTCTCTACGTTAGATGAATGTGAAAATGAATATATATTTATATTTAACTCCTGGCAGTTTTCCCTTGTGTTGATACTTTCAATCTGAGGAATTATTCTCTTTTTTTAAGATTTTATTTATTTATTTGAGAGAAAGAGAGTGAACATGAGCCGGGCAGGGGCAGAGGGAAAGGGAGAAGCAGACTCCCTGCTGAACAGGGAGCCCTACCCAGGGTTGGATCCCGGGATCCTGAGATCATGACCTGAGCCAAAGTCAGATGCTTCACCAACTGAACCACCCAGGCATCCATGAGGTATTCTTAAGCTGATTTAATTTGCTGACAAATGTGGCTGAATTGAACTGAAATGAAGACATCAAAAAATAAATAAAATGAAGACATCATTTTCCTAAAGTTGACAAAGATGATACAGGGGCATGCTAGCAGTCAGAGATTTTGATCTGTGATCACACAGGCCAGATAAAATATCAGGGACAAAATTCCCAAAGCTAAGGAGAAAGGGTGGGTAGGAATTGAGTAAGAAAGGAGACAGGAAAAGTCTTCATGAGGGTGGTCTGGTAGGAGTAGCTTAGAATGGTGTGGCTTTATGGTAAACTGGCAGCCCTTGTTGTCCCTTTAACTGGATCATGCATCAGTAACAGTAACATGGAAACTGGAGGCACTTTGTCCCTTCTTTCCATCTCAGAATGGGCAGCAGATTTTCCATATTTTAATTAATTTTCAGTTGTTAAGCCAGAAACCTGAGTGGCCCCTTTCACTAACCCTGTTTTCACCGCACAATAGACCATGTGCTAGTCAGGCTTCCTGATCACTAAAGAAGATTAATGTGAGCCAAGTACAAAAATTTGCTCAGGTTATTAAAGGCTAACAGTGATTGTTCTAATGTGTCTGCTTATTATGCACATTTTCTCCTCTACAGTTTATTATATTACCTAGTCAATGTGTTTGTCAATTGTTAATATCTTTGTTGTTGCAGATACAGATGTGGTGTATAAAAGCGAGAATGGACATGTCATTAAACTGAATATAGAAACAAATGCCACCACATTATTATTGGAAAACACAACTTTTGTAAGTAATGAAAAATTAATTACTTTATGCATTTCAGTATTGTTTAGAATGCTCTCTAGGTGCACATAATTTTTTTCTTCTTCAGCTCCAGCACCTGCAAAACATTTCAGGCAAAAAGTTAGGGCTTGGCATATCATTAGAATCAGTACATCGATTAAAAGGAAATGCCCATGTGCCCATCTGCTTCATGTCTCCCCTTTTTAGTCAATGAGTAAATGTCTCCAAGAATAAAATTTCCCTAGAATCAATGTTTCTTCCAATATTTCCTATGTAAGATCACTCATACGGATGTGAAGATTAAAAAAAAAATCTAACACAAGTTATCACAACCTTTTTCTCCCTCTTTACTTTTCATTCTTTCTGACTTCTAATTTTGTTGTAGTTTTCTGGATCAAGCAGAAGGCAGACTTTCTAAAACTGGCTTTCTGCTGGGGCTGATGTGTTTTACTTTTATAATTTAGGCTTCTACCATTTTCATTTTACTTCTCCAGAGTCACTGGTTAGCCTGACAGTGTTTAAATAACAGAATGTATTTATTTTGCTCTTACAAAAAAATATGAATTTTGTCTTTCTTGTAAATTCAGTCTTCTTAAGGTGGATTTACCTATGATTACCTACAGAGTGAGTGTTAATGAATTAACTTTTGCAGAAATTCAAAATTTAGCTGTCAAACACCACTGAAAAACAGTGTGTAGTTATTCACTCATGGTTTTATATAATCAAAAGTTCAATATATTGCCTATTAAATGAACTCATAGGATACAGAGAAAACGTACTCCAAGGCCTCAGAGGATTTTCCATGCAAATTAAATCAGTGAGCACAAATCATCAGCTCCCTTTTTTTTTTTTCTTATTTCTACTTGTACATTTGGAATAGACATCTAGACTTCATGTTTTTTATAGGATGGCCAGGTGAAAGATATGGACTGGACCCTTCTGTTGTTTAGTGTTTTTATATATTAAGAAAATATGGTCATTGAAATTAGGAAGTGCTTATATAGTTATGCATCTATTAGGCTAAATTAAACCAAACAGCTGATGTACTTTAGTAATTAGAGCAACAAGTAACAGAATAAAGACATTTTTGTTTTTAAACTAATTGGTTAATTCACAGATATCAGAGAAACAGCTACTCAGAATGCAACTCTTCATAGCCCTTGTGGAATGCTGAGGATAGAACCCAGATTGCTCACTTTGTAAAAATACGGATTTCCTTGGGGAAGATAATACTAACCCTAATGAAAAAGTTTAATAAATGTTTAGAGCAGTGTCTGTTATTTCTTAATTGGATGGTCCTCTGTGGTCCTAGAGAAAAGGCTAAGGAATCATCAAGGTATGTTAAAATGAATGGGGAAAAAAAAGCCCTCAGTAGGACAAAAGGCAGAAGGCAGGAGTTGGTAATGAGGAGAGGGTATACTGAAGATTTGCTGATTAAAGTCAATATGAATTGATTTTCAATAAAATTAGTTTTGGGGGAAAAAAACTAAATATCTTATTTTTATTTTTTTTTTATCACACAGTATCATTTTTGAGGGGGAGTATAGGCCTTCAGTGGCCAAGCATTTAAGTTAGGTATAGACACTCAGTACATGAATATTCAGTTATGTGATAATTCCTTTTTTTTTTTTTTTTGTGATAATTCCTTATTGATCATTCCCTTTATACAGGTTAATGAGGTCTTCACCTCATTAGGTGGACCTAATCTATGGTCATAGATTATGTATTTTTTTTCAGCATTTGGTCCTTACTTCCTTAGCCTCTATGATACATCAAAAAATAAACAAAAATAAATAAAATCTTGTGGCTTTACTACATTATCCCAGTTCTTTTGTTGGTCCCTCACACCACCCCCAGCTCACCTCATTGTAGTTTCTCCATGTACTGATTAATACCATTTTATCTTTGTGCGTGTGTGCTTAATCTGTTTAAATCCTTTTGAGGTCTATTTCTACTCTCTTTTATGTAGGCAGTGACTCTTAATTACCAGAGTCATATTTAGTAAATATTCTAATTTACTGATCTTCTAAGATTCATAGGCTCCCTAAAGACATTTATCTCACAACACAGATAATTAAGCAATTTCTAAGTCCTAGAGGTGTCAGAATTCAGTGGTGGTGGGGGAGGTGCACGGATAAGGGATTAGAGTATGGCATATATTTGCAACCAGTTAACTCAAAACTGTAAAAAATAAAAAAATACAAATACCATGATTCCACATCTCTTCAGAGGAACTCATTTAATCATTTCTTCCCCACTCCAAGATAGCATTATTAAATGTAGTCGTCTTTTCAAAGCTCATGCTAGGCTAAAGTCTGGGTTTACTTTCTCTCAAAGGCCATTCTGTTGGAAAAAAATCTCTTACTAGAGCATAAGAATTTTATTCGTATTGCAGATTTTTCATTGAGCAATTATCAATATTTTAATTAGAATCATAATTAGCTAAGATCACTATAAAAGCTTTGTAATAAAAGTGCCAAGTCAATTAAGAAAATAAACATATTATTGATAGAAAGTGATAATATAATAGCCTATTATTTAGTAGGACATATTTTTCTAAAATGTGACAGGCAGTTTATTTTAAAAATTAAGATAACACCACATTGTCATTTCCCTCTTAAAAACATTTTAAATATGAATAGTGGGTACTTTTAGCTATGTAATCATGGTTAGCAGACTCCATGAGTAACAATAATGTTGGACGTGGCTGTCAAAAATAAAAGTAAATCATTTTCCTGAAATAATTGTCTTAAGGCTTCTTTTGGATTCAAGATAGGTGGATTTCTAATGAAGGAGGAAATTAAAGGGTATATAACTTTTTGAAGAAGAGTTATGCAAAAGGAGTGCTTTAGCCCCAAAACTGCTCTTCATCATTTTTGAGTGTTTGAAAATGTTATCTCTTAAAGCCAGAACTATTTCAAGCAAAACCTCATTCACAGTGACATGATGAGGAAATGTTTCATAAGTATTAGCTATATGTACTCTTTCTGCTGTCAGTAAATTGAATATCACCAGTGGTCTTAGCAGAAAACACCAGCAGCCATAAACAGTTCTATCAAATCACTTTTTGACATTAGGAGGGAATTGGAAATGGGTCTAATGCACTTATATGGAAATGGGTAACTGATGTATAAGACTCTCACGTCTTTTTGACTCTGAAAATCTGCAGAGCTTTTAAAAACATGCTATAAAAATAGCCCAAAACAGAGGAAAGAAATTCATATTTGGCAGCAGAATGATTCCAAGGAAAATGTTAGCTACACATTTTGGGGGTCCAACTGTCTTTTTATAGTCCATTCCAAGATAGTAGGTTTGATTAGAACCAGGGAATATTTATTGACTTAGGCATAGAGATAGCATCCATTGGCTTGCATGCCATCATAATATTTGTATTTGTTTATTTTTAATTTGTTCTGCCATTGGGTATGTGGGGGTGGAGGGAATAGATCCAACTCTATTTTACCACCACAAAATCAAGGAACTTATTTTCTGATTCATGTTTAAGGAAATAAGTGCCCTATGGAAAAAAATTCTGTGGTACCAGTAAATACTTACTGGATAAAGGCACCCAAAATTTCACGTCTTAAAATTTGAAATAAAGGTAAGCCCTTGGTGATGGGCCCTCAGTGTTGTATATAAGATGAATCACTAAATTCTATACCTGAAACTAATATTACACTGTATGTTAAGTAACTGGAATTTACATAAAAAACTTGGAAAAAAATTGAACTACAGAAAGGTTATTAGAAAGTTCTGACTGGCCAAATGGTTTTACACGTTGGCTGCAATCATAGAGAATTTGTTGTTGTTGTTTTTAAAGATCTGACTTTGGCAGTATGTGTTGGCATCCTAGTAGTGAATGGTATCAGTAGTGTAGCTAATACTGATTGGCCAATGAAGTCACAGGAACCGCACACCTACACAGTTGCCATGTACACAATACAGTTATCTTCCTTTAGACCAGTGGTTCTCAATTGGGGGTAATTTTATCAGGAGACAATTGGCAACTCTGAAGACATTCTTGATTGTTATGGCTGGAGGTGGGGAGTGTGCCACGGGAATCTAGTGAATAGAGGTCAGAGATGCTGTTAAACATTCTACAACGCTCAAGACAGCTCCTTACAACAACAACAAAGTTATCTAGCTGTAAATGTCAGTAGTGCCAAGTTTTCAAGATCCAGGTCGAGGCAGGGATACCAGGGAAACCATGAGATGATTCAAAGGTAGATTTTTCTTTTTTTTTTTTTTTTAATTTTTTTAAAATTTTTTTAAAGATTTTATTTATTTATTTGAGAGAGAGAATGACATAGAGAGCATGAGAGAGAGGAGGGTCAGAGGGAGAAGCAGACTCCCCACCGAGCAGGGAGCCCGATGCGGGACTCGATCCCGGGACTCCAGGATCATGACCTGAGCCGAAGGCAGTCGCTTAACCAACTGAGCCACCCAGGTGCCCACAAAGGTAGATTTTTCAAGGTGAGATCAAAGCAGTGGTTCTTTTTGTCAGAAATTTTTTAAATTTTATTATGTTGTGTTAATCACCATACAGTATCTCATTAGTTTTTGATGTAGTGTTCCATGATTCATTGTTTGCGTATAACACCCAGTTCTCCATTCAGTATGTAATCTGAGGCTTCCAGCTTCATTTCTTGAGACATATTTCTTCTTTTTTATGGACCAGTCTGTGAAGAAGACCAGCGGGCATGAGTATAATCACATGGCCTTGGATTCCTCTTCTGTGGATAGCTAAAAGTATGACCCCAGTTTTCTTATAGTTTTCTGGGGATACTTCTAATTGAGATATTTTGTTGTTGTTGTTCAGGCAAGTTGGTATCAGTTACTGGCTATTGTCAATTCCTTTGACCATGAAACAAGTAATTTTCTCTAAGTTAGAAGATAAAAACTGATGACTATTTAGTGTTCCAGTCAGTGTAATTCTTTACATTGGCATTACTACATTGGCATTATATTATTTATATTGTGTTTATAAATTTATATTGTGTTTA